TTTTAGTGTTATCATTATCATTATTGGTAAAATAAAAAAGAAGAGATAATAGGATTGTCTGTAGAGATAATAGCGATAGTGCTAGTGATGATGTTGATGATGTTGATAATGACAGCGATAGTGGTATTGATATGGTGCTAACGATAGCGATGGTAATGGAAGCTGTCATCCGCCATCTTACCAAACATTCGATGATGACAACGACAATACAATTCATTTTCCGTCCCACCTATTCGTCCGTCCAATAATGTTTGTTTGTTTTTTCTGATCTCATCTCGCTCTTTATAGCCATTTTTATTATCACATGGAAGATTGCTCCTTTTTACCTAATTCATGTAATTTAAAAAGAGAAGATAATGAAGGTGAAAGGTCATTTCAGTTAACGACTCATTTAACAGTGTTGTGCTCATTGTTGTTGTTGTTGTTGGAAGAAATATTTTATTTGGAATGTTAGAGGAGAAGAAAGAAAAAAAAAGAGTTATTGTCAACAAGTTGAAACATTTGAATGAAGCAGCCGTATGTTATGTCCGTGTTGTTAGAAAAGATTAGGCTTTGGAATGAAGATTTCAAAAAGAGAAAGCGAAAGATTAGGCTTCTTTGAATGAGGATGGCTGGAAGAGAAAATTGAAAGACTAGGCTTCTTTGAATGAAGATGGCCAGAAGAGAAAGCGAAAGAGTAGGTAAAGGAGGAATATTGAATGAATGAATAAAAAATAAATTAAGGATCGGATTTTTTAGAAGGAAGAGAATTGGAAACGACTAAGCTTTTTGAAACGGATGACCAGAAAGACGAGAAAGAGGGGGAGAGGGAGGAGGGAGGGGGAGGAAGTGACAGAGAGGGAGAAAGAGAAATGTTATTATGAAAATGAAGAAAGCATTGCTTTGGTTAATTAAGAAAGCTGCAAATTTGTTTACATATATGTGCCCTGTAAAGCATCATAAAATATTGATATTGGTTTCCGAATTTTCTAGGTCAGCAAAATTTCCAAGGTCATATAAGAACAATCATTTTCCGTCCTGTTCCATTCCGGTTACTGGCATTCAGTGTTTTCGTTTTTCTATTCCTTCCTCCTCTTCCGCTATTTCAATCAATCTGGTATTAATAATCTGATGTTCATTTATAACAGAATACAAATATTTATATGATTGATAGAAAGGATATATAGTAATAATAATAATAGGCATTGCTATGCAACTAAAAAGAATGGATGGATTGACATTGTTGGTTTACATTTTTCCACATAGCCCTTCCGATAATCTGAATATTGAATGGAACGGGCCTATCCGCTTTGCCAATCTGAGCTTAAGGCCATAACAGCAATGATGACGACGATAACAACAGCAATGCCGATGGCGATGAGTATTACTTGCGTGTAGCCTAGCCTCGACACTTTCTACCTCATCTTTGCTCGCTTTCTTTCTTTCTGTCATTTTTTTATTCATTTCTCTTTGCTTCCACCATTTCTTTCCGCTTTCCCGCTTTTCTTTTTGTATGGAACTTAATTTTAAAAAAAAAAAACAAAGTTTTAAATTAAAATTAAAATTAAGAAAAATAAAAGCGAAGAGTTTGTTTCAATTGTCAAGTCGGCGAAAGAGTGCTTGTATCAAATAACTTTTGCTCCTTAATTTGATTCCCACCTGAAGTAGCATTCATTTACTCATTTCTTGTTTGTTACTGCTATTCCTATTTCTGTTTTTTACTAGTCTGAATACCGGAATGCATCGGCCATGTACTATCGGACAAACAGCTACGGATCAACCTTCCACTTCTACAACTTGTAAGTAATTCTGAAACGAAAAAAAAACGAAATTTTTTCTATCATGATTTTTTAAATATTTAAACGCGATATATTCATTTATTGATTTATATTTTTAACAAATTCATAGAGAATTGCATATAAAAGTTTAGCATAATGAAGCTATGATGTATAAAGGTAATTTGCATCAAAATTTAGATTACTCCTTTATTTCATATTTTTGTGGTAGCTACATGAATTCTTGTTTTCAGTCATATTTCTCAATTCATTTTTATTTTATCAGTAATTTTTCTCTCTTATCCAATTTTTATCGGATCAACATTGATTTTCTCATCTTTATCAATTATTATCTAATCAATATTGACATAATTTGGATCTTATAAATAAATATTAAAAATTGTTCAAATAATTTCATAAAAAAGAAAAATATTTGATTGATTATTTGAAAATGCATCGTTTTTCAATTTCTTTTCTAAATGATCAATAGCGGTAGTAGTAGTCATAATAGTAGTTAGCTAAGATGAATGAAATATTTTATATCAGTTGCTCTTTCAAACTCTCTCTAATTCTGTTTCCTTCTCTTGATGATTCATTAATAGGAATAAGGAGAAAGAGAGAGAGTTGATGTGAAAGTTTTTCACAATTTCAATTTCAAGATATCGCACGTCTCGAGAATCTTAAAATATACAATCATTATCATTATCATGTGTGTTATAAAAAGATTAGCTTTAAATGGTTTAATGTAACAAAGCTAGAAGAAAGTGATCACACTACGATTTAGGAATTATTCTGATTGTTACATACTGTATTTTTTTAGATGGATTTGATGATTTCCATAGTCGTTTTCCGGAATTATGTGAAAGTTCTACGAAACGACGAGAAAATATGGAGGAAAGTGTAATGGGAAATCATATACTAACAAGCATATCGAATCCATGTCTTTCAACTACTAATGATGGTCCAACGGAAATTCTTCCATTCCTCTATCTCGGATCACAACAGGATGCTATGAATTCGCGATTGTTATCAGTAATATTTATCATTCTTCACGGCTTTTTTTTTCTCACCGAATATTTCTCGTCATATTCTTATGATTGCAGAAATACGGTATCAAATATGTGATAAATCTTAGTGTGAATTGCCCCGAACCGGATATACTGAAACAAGAAGGTCATTTTATGCGAATACCGGTCAACGATACCTATCAGGCAAAACTTTTGCCGCATTTCGAAGATGCTTTCAGATTTCTCGGTAAATTTTCCTTTATCATTATTAATTAATCAAATACTAATCTAATTTCTTCTGTTAATACGGAATGTGTTTCATTTGCAGATAATGTATATGAACGTGGTTCGGTGGCATTAGTACATTGTCTTGCTGGTATTTCTCGAAGTCCAACGTTGGCTATCGCATATATGATGAGGCGAAATAATTGGACATCCGAACAAGCGTATAGGTTAGTACCGTATCAATACCGTATCGGAATTACTTCGGTTATATTTTTCATCCTAAACTTACTGTTTCAGACTGCCGATTAATGATCGTTTCTTCAAGTAAATTTGGATTTACGGTTGTGTTATAGCTATTTGTATATTTATACGATATGAATATGCGTAAATAATATCATGCATATATACATATGATGTAGAACATTATCTTCTGGATTTATCAGTGTATACGGATATGTTATTGTCATATGCACTTTATACGAAACATAAAACACGTATATTGTGCAAATATGTGTCGTGTATAACGGCGATATCCGGGTTTTGCGAATGGCTGCGTGCACGTTTTTGTGGCATACAAAGCATATATTGCACAAATGAGTGCGGTAGCGCTGCCCAGACAGATTTTACGTAGTTATGTACACGTTCATCTAGGCATCTAAAATATATATATTTTTTAAAAAGGACATTTTTTTTAGTCTAAAAAAGTTTTTCAGTTCAAGTGAACCTTGACCAGTTACAGATATGTGAAGGAGCGTAGACCATCCATTTCGCCGAATTTCAATTTTATGGGCCAATTACTGGAATATGAGGCACGACTACGAGAGAAGAATGATTTGAGCTTACCATCTAAATTCAGTCAACATGAAGAGGAATGTCAAAGTGATGACAGTACTGCCATTTCGACATCTTTCTTCACGCTATCCTCTATTTCGGATTCCGGCTGTTCCGATGACGTACGTCTAGTTCAGATAATTTTAACGTGCTCTGCCTACTAGTTATGCTAGCAACAAATCGTCTTTCATTCTAAAGGATTGGGCTGTTCATTTATATTCAGATACTGACATTTTTCTGTCTTAGATGATTCCTTGTCATTTACCATTGTCGTCGATTTGAACATATACTTCTATAGGAAAGAACATAGGAAGAAAATGGTTTGGATTTTAGAAAGAGGTAGCATTTCTCGAAATTTTCTAAATATCTAATCAACAACCTTCATTATAGGTTGTTGATTAGATATTTAGAAAAATCGAAGAAAATTTTTGCATAATCTTTCGAGGTATTTTTTAAGAGTAAAACTTCAGGATTGTTTAAAAATTAGCTGGAAGAGAGCATAGTTTTTCGCAAATTTATCAAGACAGAATTACGTCAATTGGCATATTTTAGGGATGTGATAATACCGAAAATATTTTAAAACTGGGAAAATCGATCAGTTGTGATACGTTATCTCACAGGGCATCATCGCAAATTTTTTGGGATAACGATTGTAGTCAGCCATCTTCAAAAACTAATGAGAATGGTAAGCGTGTGATGGAACCAACATGTCTACATTTATTGGATCGGCCAAGAGTTCTGGATGGACTAAAATCCAAGAAAGTTTTAAGCATACCTGAAAAAGTAGATGAAGTATGTCATTTATATTATAATAATATCAATGAAATAGTTTGTTCAAAATTAATGAAATAATTCAAAAAACATGCTGTTTGCTTTATTTGTTTTCTGTGTCAAAAATTAATCTTTGAAAAGCATTTAAAAAACTCTGAGTATTCCAGTTGTACTACGAAAGCGTCTAATTCCAATCGTTACAGGATTTGCCATCACCATCAACGGAATTGCAGAAATTATCATTTACACATTCATCGGATACATTAAATTTCGCATCAAATCCGCTCTTTCACAGCAAAAGCCGCATGGATGGATCGACTTCAGTATTCACTGATTCAACAATGCGAACAATGCCTCAGATGAACCGTTATTCAGCCGAAAATGTGACATTCAATTCATGTGATCATTTATCGATTCCGCTTACATCATCTTTCAGTATTTGTAATCGGAGCAAAAGCCACAAAATGACAATGGGTCATAAGTTTCTGACACGTATTAGCCATTATCTTCGAAGGGGAACCTGTCAGGTGAAACATAATAGAAGTATTACTACTGGTAATGTTGCTAGAGCTAACATTGTTGATCGCAAATCTATGATTATATCAATTCCATCGGTAATTCCTTCTTGCCCTTCATCATCAGCTAATAGCAAGAGTGATGCATCTTCATCGAATGCTTCAGTAGATGTAGTAAGATCTCATGGCATTAGTTCTTTGGATAAGACACATAAGCATGCTCAGACTTCCACAGCATCACGTGCACTTCAAGCATTACGTAGACGACGACTAATGGATCATCAACATCACAATCATTCCCATTTTATTGCTACCAGAACTGTTACAGATGGTAGTAATAATGGCAATAGTAATGCTAATGTTACAGAATCAGTTCTTGAATCATCACAAACATTTCGTGAAGCTGATTGTGATTCGATCAGTTCTACGAGTTCTTTAGAAATTTTGGTCCAATAATCGCAATAACGATGGATAGCCATTCTTTTCTTTTCATTAAGTTCATTTTTTCTTTTTTTTTTTGCTATCATTCATAATTGGACATCATTCATTGTTGAAATGTCAAGCAAAAAAACTATCGGACGACGAAACGAGGAATTGGAAAGGCTGACATCGTTGGATTTCTTTTGGATCAAAAACTCGAAAAGCTTAGTTGTGCAATAGTAGAAGAAACATAGCTTATTTCGAATTCTTTGCTTAATCTTTTTGTTTTCATCCAAATCCAAGTTTTTTTTTCTGAACAAGATAATATAGTTAAATCTGGAAATAAAATTCATATGTTTTTGCAAAAAAAAGATGGCAAAAGAAAAAAATCGATTTAAAAAATTTTTTCAATCCCTTGAATTTTCCAATAACATTAAAAGGAGAGAGTGTTGCTTTTTCTTTCCTTTCATGCTATAATCTCTAAACTTTGAATACAATGCCAAAGTTATTGTTAATATTATCATTAATGAATATGAAATTTCTGCCCGTTATAATAGTTTTCTAATGCTTTCAAAAAAAGAAAAAGACGATTGAAGAGGGACAAATCATCGTATGTTTAATAATTATTAATGTCTTGTCATTATTGTCATCTCATATTTCAAATGATAACCATAAAGTCATGCCGAAACAAAAGAAAAAGGTGGTCTTTAATTAGTCTTAATTTAAAAAAGAATTTCTTGACATCAGTAGTATCATTTTGTCACACATAAACAACACACACCCTCCTTCATATTGTTATTACAGAAAAAGAGGCTAAATTATACGGAAATATTGTCATGAACATTAAAATATGAGTTTATAATTCCTCAACTATAATAGAGATTTATGATAATCATATTGATGAAATATATCATTCCATTCGATACTTAATTTCCTTCCTTTTAAATCGTTTTAAATTAATTTGATTCGTTGTAATCTCATACAGAATTTAAGTAGTGCTTTCTTGCTTTTTATTTTGGTGCTCTCACACAATGTCGAAATAATTTTTCTTTTTTTCTCATTTTCTTAAAGGGATTTATTAATTCAAATGCATACTAATGTTTACCGTTATATGAACAATTGACGCCGGTTCAAAGTGCATTTTTGTGAGCAGAAAAGTAATTGAGTGATTGTTATCTGTGAGAATATCTCATAGATTAATCAATTATAATTTTTCTTTTTGGCAGTTTTTCCTTGGTGGAAAAGAAGGAATGGAAGTAAATATTATCATGCCTTATTCTTATAGTTAAAGGATTTGAATAGGTTGTTTTGTTGTATCAAACAAGATATATATATACATCGCAATTATTTACTCCCGAAAGACAAAATAATTATGAAAGTTAAAACAGTATTTAGATGCTATGAACATGAAACAAACTTTGAAAGATATAACTGGATATTGAATTTTATTTTCGTTACCTAAGTGAGAATTATGCTTTTTACCTAACTGAATGATTTACCTAAGCCGATGGAAATGGTACAGATATTCCGTGGATTCAAAAAAAAAATCACTCATGTGATGATTGGTTCTTTACAAGTACACTTTTTCTGATTAATTTTTTTCCTATAGTCTTCCTTTACTTAAAAGGATTTAAAACGTAACGGGGTGACTGATTTAAATAGGAACCAAAATAAATATCTATGTACAAACTGGAAATTAGTCCATTATGGCACTCTAATAATAATCAGCATGACACTTATGGTAAAACAGTAAGTAGCCTTGGGAAGAGAGAACCCGTTCTGTTGGTACTTTTGTAACTTTTTGGTCATCACACTGAAACCACTGGTTACGTTGATGACGGATGTAGCACGTATAATGGCCACTTTCCATCGTCCCTAAGTGATTCACAACTGCAAACAGTTCGTATCTGAAATAATTCTTAATATGCATAAATTGAACACCATAGTGTTGTAGTATATCAGGTCACAAGAAAATTGAGATTAGCGGCCAGTTACTCTGAGAAATTTCATTCATCGAACTATAAACAACTTTCACTTTATGAAGATTGGATACTGCGAATAAATCACCGCGCTAGGCTCAATGCTATCGATGTGTTTAGCATTTTTGACTCAACTGAAGTTCCAAGGATGCATATTTCACCTTGCTTCTACTTCAGTCATCAACCCAAAAGCTTTTTTTTTCCTATCTTTACCCTGTCTAATATGTTTATAATCCAGAATGATAAAGTCCATTTATATCGTTCTGGCAATAAAGCCATACTTATTTCGATTCGTTGTAAGCAAATCAGTGACAATACTAGTTTTGCTCTCCGGAGCACCGGTGGAACGCTCGCGAAACGAGGCCGTAAACGGTGTCATATCAATGAATTGCGGATATTTGATTTTAGTATCCATCTTCTTCCGGTCTTTGCGACTGTGTTCAAAACGCTTTAAATGAAAGCAAGCAACCATTGGAAGAGTTTTTAGAGTGAGCTGCTTCGTTGACTCCTCATATGTCTCACAACGTGCACATTTCGTCTTTGCACTGCTTCCCAAATGCTCGGGCATTATATACCTGAAAGTAAATTCATAACGCAACATTAATCTGGATTCACGATAGATTTTTTGCTTCGACTTTTGCTACTGTTAAGTACAAGAGAGGATTAGGAACATCACTGCATAAATCTATTTTTTGAAAAAACGAAAATGATTTACCTGTGTAAGCAATCTTCTAAAGTAATTTGTTGCGGTGAACCAGAACTGCTGCTGGGTGAGCGCAACACTTCTTGTGCTACATCAAGAGATATATCCCAGAAAGGATCAACAGTTGTTGAAACACATCTGAAAATCCTTATTAAACTTATCGACTCTAGAGCCCCTCCTATTTTATTATTCCCTTCCTATCTGTCATTGGTTTATTTCTCTTCGAATAACTTTTGATTTTAAAACTCATCAATAATTTCAAAGCACAAAGGATCACCATACCCACAAATTGAGCATGTGAGATCAGATTGTAATTTGCCGGTGAAGATCCAATCAATAATACAGTTACATTCATTTGGCAGAGATGGAAGTGAACTACCTGTAATGACAACTATTAAGAATCAGTCCTGGACTGATAAAATTAGCAAAAGCACTGAAAAAAAAAGCTAACTTCCGGAATGTCGATGAAGCACATCAAGAGCAGCTATAAAGAATTCATGTGCGTCCTGTTGTTCGTAGCCAGCCAAATGCCTAGCATGTGTCCAGACGAGATTCAAAAATCGATTCGGTTTGTAAGGCGTGACATCACCTTTGTAAAATTCCTGCAAGTATCCATTTTTGAACAAATAGAAGCTTCACTAACCAAGAATAAGCGATAAGCTGACGATAACGATAAACAGAGAATGAACATTTTATCAGTGAAATACTGTGCTTATCTAGTAAAATTAGTACCAATCTAGGAGAATGGGTGATAGATAACAACTTTGTTGTTAAACATACCTGAAAAGTATTGGCAAGTTCACACATAAGACATTGAGATTTACTATATAATGACGATGAAGCACAATGATGCTGATCAGTGAGGAAATAATCCTTCAGATGTGGTGTATGTACGATGGCTTGTATAATACAGTTCATAAAACATGTATTTCCCAAATTTACCAGTCCACGTAAACCTTCAATTATAAATACATAAAATACTGAAAATATCACAGCTGCAATTAACTACAAATCTAGACAATTTAGACATCCTATTTCGCTTATTTTAAAGCTATGACATAGTTGCATTTACAGTTACCATATAGTTTAATTATTTCATAGCTATGATATTGCTGGACAATAACAGAAACTAATTAGTTTAATATTGAAATTACCTCGGATACTACTCCTCGAAAAGCGAACCATTCGAGCAGGATCATCATGACAAACATCCACAACAGCTGCACCTGGATACCAAATACTCCTAGTACTTAAGTTCAGCGATCGTCGACAACCATTTTCGGCATCTCGTCGAGCATCCTCCATCTCACGGTCGTATACAAAATCACCACATTGATAGCAATAAATAAAACCTGTTTCTACCGAAACTGCTGCAAAAAGAGAAATAATTATTAATTCGATAGAATTTGATTTCATGAGATAATTATTAGCTGTAGTAGCAGTAGCAATAGTAAAATTACCTTACCGAAGAGATGTTCTTTAGTTGCCAGATGATCGTGTATATGTGTTAAACATGCAAAAGTTGAACATTGACAGCATGCACACATCAGTGCATTTAATCGCGTCTTGCACTGAATGCATCTAACATATCTAGCCTGAAAATGATTGCTGTCTGGAAATATACACATGATGGAGAAAGCATCAAAATTCGTTTTAGCAAAATACAAAAATTTGTTGTTGCCACGTTTATAAATCTCAAAGTTATAAATATGTTCAAAGTGATGAAGTTATTAATAAATAGTTAAAGCTGAATTGAAACAATAATGTACTTCCGCTGTTATCCATATTGACTTCTTAACTGAACAATACATTTTCTCGATAAATTAATCGCTTGTTCTCCTTAGTTACCATTTATATATAATGGTGGAACATTAATATATGGTTAGTGCATGTAACTGACGCAATATTTAATTTATTAAAAATTTTTTTTTTCAAAGATCAAACACAAATCACCGAAGTGTTTATACTATTATGTATTGCTTCTTTTATCGAAACTTGCCAAATATACAATCAATTAAAACTCACGTGAACTTCCCGTGCTTTAGCATTATTAGGAAAGATAACCGCATAAACCACACTGTTAAGGGTTTTCGACAATGTTCGCCGATTTTTACCAATATGTTTACATGGACTGTTCATTGATTTCCTGAAAGTATATCATTCTAATATTACGAAATCAAGCTGAATATTGTCTAAACTAATGGAATAACCTAGTCTATCCTGCTGTTTTTCTATTTTTCCAATGCTGTTGTTGCTTATCATTTCCAATTTTTTTTCCATAGATGGAAATTACTAGTCTAGCTTTTGAGAACACTGATAGCAAATTAATATTTCTGCGATGTCTCGGAGGCGTAAACTATAAAAGATCAAATACGATTCGTATAACAGCCACGAAGAAGTAAAATCCTAATTCCCCAGTTCTATGTATAAGAATGATAAGGGCTGACATCGTGGCATCCAAATAAAATAAGGCATAACGTGCATCGTATGTTCTAAACCGCAAAATAAGGGATCAATGGAAATGCAGGATTAAATTGCCACATGATGTTAGATGGTGCCGATGTTATTCATCGCCATATTAGACTGTGAAGAAATGATTGACACTTTCGTACGGATGAAGGAAGAAACTTCATTCTCGACGGCAAAAGTCGATAACGACTGACCTAAATAAGCATTCTTAAACAGCAACTTTTGATCATAGCCAACCTTCCAGATCTGCTTTACTGTTTCCATTTATTTGATCAGAAATACAAAAATAAGCATTGATGTAACAGAACACTGATGTATCGAAATGTAACGCAAGTCAAAATACTATAATTTATTTGACTGCAACAACAATTACTTCAATATAAATATAGCCAACAAATAGAAAACAACGGCAAGAACGCAATAGCGCTTCAATAACTTAACTATATATATCTTACTAAAATAGAACGAAATGACCTGATCATATTAATATAATAAATCTTAACCACGGCACTGTCATGACATTTGTAACCCATTGTAAACCTGAAAATTAGAACTACAATACCTTCATTAACATACTGTCGATGAAATTATAAATCTCAAAAAAATTAAAAAAAACATATATATATCTCAAGAAAAAGTTCCTGCTAATCTCCACAACGGCAAAATCTCCAATCTTCAATGAAAGCAATAATTTCGCCCTTAAGCTATTTGAAAAATATTTTGTCAGTTTGCATAACATAAAAGCATACTTTCGACTGAAGAGAATCCTGCTTTAGCACTGTCCCAACAACTTCTTTCTGCTCAGGAGTTAATTCTCCGCGAGGAAACTCGATATCGACGGTTATATACAGAATTCCTCTCTCATCATTATTGGAATGCGAAGGCAATCCTTCATTCTTTTTTCGTATCCGTGCTCCTGGCCAAGTTATTTTTTCGCGAACAACCTGCAAAATAAATTGTAACTTACCTGTCGTTTTGAAATCACGGTAATTTATTCATATTTCACGAAAATGAATTGTTTTCAACGCTCTCTATAATCCTTTGTTTTTTTCTCTGCTAAGACTCAGAAGCGCAGCACACTTCCAAAATTTTGTTCAAAAGTAAAATGTCTTCAAGTGATAGCAAATAATACTCAGAATTCCAATACAAATAAGGACAGCAAAATTGCCCTTCAAATAAGTGATGGATTTGTAACAGAAAGAGTGAAAAAAGTTTCTCACTCACCTCAACTTTGTGCCCATCAAGATGGGTTATTTCCATTTTGAATCCCTTTAATGCATCTTCTAATGATATAGTGACATTAGTGTACAGATCCAAACCGCGTCGCTCAAATATTGGATGCTTCTCGATTTTGATTACAAATTTCAGATCACCCGGTTCACCTTCAATATGCGGCTCACCTTCGCCTGGGAATGTCTGTATTTGTCCTTCATCAACTCCCACTTCAATCTCAACCTAAAATATTTAAGAAAAACGCATTAAATTAGTCATATTTATTTGAAGAATGAATTATAATAAAGAAAGATACACTTAATAATTACTGAAAAAACTGAAATAAAAGTCTAGCAGCGCTTTTCATATTAACAATCCGTTTTCACAATTAGTCAACATTGAGAAAATGTATTTCTAGATAACATACCTCAAGGGACCGCGTTTCTTGTACCAACATAACATTTGGGCATTCATCACATACTTTCACTTGAAACATTTGGAATCTACCAGCACCCAACTGCTCAGTACGCATTTCATGACGACAGTTACATTTCCTTGTACCCGATGTCTGTTTGTATGATGATTTTATCCTACAACGACATGAATTCCTCATGCAAATCCTTAAAATGATATGATTCTCATATGTTCACGCTAATTCACTCCACATTCTTTCCATACCAACCGCTTGAATAAACTTTAGGATGATTATTCACACGGTGTGAAGTTCTTAAAGTTCTGGTCGTATTATGCATCTAATCAAGGGTAGAGTCATGTGAGGACCTACTGCTAATTGAAGCTCACAAACATTAAATAAAACATGAAAATTGAAATAATATCGGTTACGATGTTATCGAAGAAAGAAAAAAGGAAAGTTCAACAATATCTCCTGAACCTTTTGACTTCCACAAAACTTCCACTATATACTTCTTCAAGTGTAACCCATAAATCCATAACTACATCAGCACCACGAAGCGTTGCCTCTTCATGCTGTCTGTTGCTTTGAAAGAAATCGCCAAAAAATGAGGAAAAACTTCCACTATCACCACCACCGGAATCTTTTAAACCTTCCTCGCCGTAACGATCATAGATTTTCCTCTTCTCTTCATCACTTAAAACCTATAAAAAATCTATCGAAAAATTGTTCCACACTTTAATGCAATATTCATCGATATGAACAATAGTAACACTACAGTAGTTAAATAATTACTTTCGGCAAATGTAGAAATCAAGAACTGAAGCGTGTAAAAAATACACTTACCTCATAAGCAGCACCTAAGTCCTGGAATTTTTCTTCTGCCAGCGGATCGTTGTTTTGTTTATCGGGGTGCAATTCTTTAGCCAGCATTCGGTATGCTTTCTTGATTTGGTCAACACTTGCACTGCGTGGCACTTTCAAAATTTTGTAGAAATCTCGCCCAGCTGACACCAGCATTAGCTGGTGGAAAAGATAGAGCGGTAAAATAAAAAATAAGATATCCATTGGTTCACTACCTGTTATCCGAAATATGCAGGTAGTTATCCAGCAAATTTGTGAATATATTAATGAACATTCGTTACAACAGCATAGCTGAAATTCGTATTATTTCGAACCAATCACGACTAATTTATCCATTCTGTAAAGTTTCCGTACAATGCTCCGAAAAAGTGAACAAATGGACCAGGATAAAGCATATGCAGGAACGATGACAATTCCTGTTTGCTAAAGTTATGATTTCTCGTCATCAAGAAGTAATACTGCTTTATTTGTTTTTTTTTAATGGTACATTTACATCAAAACTGCTACAGAATTGACATGTTTATCCTAAATTTCATCCATTCAAAATATATTTTTTGAACTTGGCGAAATTTATGGCATAAACGATATGTTATATGGTTGTATGATAAACATCATGTAACAGTATTGCAAAAAATATTCAAAAACTTAGATTCTAAACAGTAAAGTCAAACAAGGATGTGACCGATCTCGTTGACATACCCGGAAATTCTAACTGATAAGAAAGTGAAAAAAAATTTTTGAATTCCGAAAAAAAAATGCAACCATCGGATGGAAATCAGAGAATAAGCCATAATAATAATTCACAACAATCAACCGACATGTACTCGTCAGCATAAACAATATTTAACAGTATCATTACTGTCCGTGTAAAACTGTTGGGACGATTGACTTCCCTTAGGCTATCTATTTCGTTAGATGGTGGATGTTAGCTTTTTTGATTTCTAATTCATTCCTGATCATATTTATGTAGCATAATTTAATTTATATTGCAAAGTATAATTGTAAGTAAATAGGTCTTTTCTCGTATTTTCAGGATTTCCTACATTGTCATTGCAAGATATCGTGAACATTTTTTTACAGTAGGGAATGAGTAGTGGATGATTTTTCATTAGAATTTTTCCTACGGCATGCATGTGTTTTATTTCACTACTCAAATAGCATTTAATCTTTTCATTTTAAGCTATATTGATTCATTTCAATTCAATTCAGTGATCATTGCTTGAATTTTGATCCTACTGGGTAGCATAATGTGATGCTCGTGAAGAACGAATACGTAGGTTTAATGCGGAGGTGGATGCGGGTTAATTGCCAGCGATGTTACGATTATGGTAGTGATTTGTTTATAGGTAAACGAGTTATTTAAGTGATTTGTTTATAAGTAAACGAGGTAAGCGAGATAATTAACTGTTGAATGATAAATAAATATTAAATGCAAAATAATTCGTGGGATTTTTTATTAATTGAAGCTGGAATTTTTAATGCAGTTGTAAATAATTGGTAACTAATCAGTAACGAAATTTATGCATAATGTGTAACATGCATGATTGATAATGAGTGTGGTGTATGATAAATAGTTGATTGCATAATATTCTGAATTTCGATTATGCCTTTGCCATTATACATTATGTTTGCTAAATTCATAAAGTAATTTATTTGTGTTGGCTTCGAGATCTTCAAGCTATATTCTTTACTTGCAATAATTGATCGATCAACTCATTTACACAGTTATCAGTAATTCGAATATTTTATATGTATAATAATTTTTAGAATAGAACCGTGTTTCTGATTGAAATTAAAGCAAATGGTCGCAGCAGATCCGATATTTGAGGAAAATGTTTCAGAGGAGCCGTCATTTTCAGATAACGAATATGGCTTTAAAGAAAATGCAACTGATGAAGGTATAGTGTAATTGTTATGTTTAGAAAAGACAAGTTGTACAAAAATGCTTGTTAAGAATGGGTTGGATGGAAAGATAATCTTCTCCTTTATTCATTTATCTTTTTTTTTGATAGCTCGAATACTATTCGAGTGACCGTTTTCGTCAGTTGCATCATTCAGGAATTGTAGTTGTGCTTTGAAGGAAAAAAAATGATCGATATGAATGATTAGTGTTAGATCAAACATCGTAATACTTCTTTTCACTGCGTATATTGCAGAGAAGTATCCTGGATTGGTTTTAATATTTATGAAGATTTGAAAATATTTTGGAAATTTCCAGAGTTAGTTGGAGATGTATTGCGCAAGAAGCCGTCTTTGAGTGAATACGATCATTGTTGCATAATAGTTTCCGGCATACCGATTGTCGGTGAAAATCGTTTATCAAAGCTGAAGAGTGTACTTGGAAAAATTTTTGGTCGGATTCATCCAGAATTCAATGATTTCTATCCAGTTGATGATAATGGCTCTACAAAGGTATGTTGCAGTATAAATATTTACAGACCAATATTAAATTGTTTGGACAAGAAAAACTAGCAATAATTAGTTTTCAAAATTGATAAAATTCATACGAAATTTCGATATGAGGAATCAAAGTTTTTGTAATAATAAAATAATATATTATCATGAATGGTCGATGTCTTTAAAGTGGTGGTATAAACGCATAGTGTATTAAAATTGTCATTTTTGTAAGAAAGGGAACATACTACCAATTGTCCAGTCATTTATTTTAACCCTTTTCTTGATGGATTGCAATAAAAAAATATTATGATATTTGAATTAATTCTCAATCCAAATTCATTCTCTATACAAATTTTGTACAAAAAAACTCAGCTTTTTAATTACCTCAGAGTATTTTGGTGCATTGCAGGGTTACTGCTTTGTGGAATATCCTGGCAGTGAGATAGCAGAGAATGCTACAGCAATATTGCATGGTTATTTGCTGGACAAAAATCACACATTTTCGGCTAATCTATTTAATGATTTAAATAAATTCGAGAAACCGGATGAAAATTGGAAGCCGCCGGAAGCGCGACCATACAACAATATTGTATCATTTTGTGATTTTTTTATGGCTTATTTTTACATAATATTTGACGTTATGTCATTTTAAGTTAGAATTTTTAGATATTTTTTTTTAGAGATGTAAATGGAATGTGTTTTCAGGGTGATTTATGGTCTTGGTTACAAAATGAGAAATGTTATGATCAGTTTGCTGTCCATTATGAGCGTGATGCACAAGGTTCTAAATATGGCTCGACATCTCCATTTGTTGGAGTGTACGAATATCGGAAAGGACAAGATCCAATACCCGTTACGGAGCGACATGCATGTTTTAAATAATTTTGCTTTCTTAACTTCGCTTTAACAAAAAATGGGGAGCTTAGGTTTTAATTTGATTATTGGATTAAATTTCAACTACAAGTTTCTTTTATTACTGAAATAATTGATATTGATACGATATAACTGAAATATTTGATGCTCTTAATTAAAGTTTTTTTCAGTACTGGACCGAGACAGTATTTAGGTGGTCTCCCAATGGCACTTTCTTTGTAAGTGTTCATCGAATGGGTATCGCATTATGGGCAGGGTCGAATTTCGAACGTTTTGCTCGTTATTCACATGAAAATGTTGTAATGCTTGATTTTTCGCCATGTGAAAGGTGTGTATTGGAAATATTTTCATTTTGAGTTCAAGAAGTAGGCACATTATTAGGTAGTGATCAAAGAAAATTTTACGCAGATGCTGATTTGATCTATTTCTCTGAAAGAAAATGTTATTTAATACCGGCACCTAGAATTCATTTCTGTTAGTGAAAAGTGATAATTATACGAGTTTTTGCGCGATTGCATTTTTGAAATTGATCGTAAAAGAATAACGGAGAATTAAACATTTTTTTATAGATTTCTTGTTACGTATTCATTGCCGGAAAATCGATGGGCTGACGATACTAATTCCTTGCGCATATTTGATACTATGACTGGAGAAATGCGACGTGGTTTTTCGTTGCTAACCCAGGAAGGATCCAATGAATTACCTTGCTGGCCGTATTTCCAGTATATTTTTATCATAGCAATATTTTTTATATGAAATTCTTCCATACAGTATTTTTCCTTGATTCAAGTGACTTTGTTATTAGTGGACTGTTTGGTACATTTGAAGCATATACCGCTATGAAATGAACATCACGAAATATTTGTCTTGAAATGAGGCTTAATTTTGAACCATTTGACCACTTTTCATTATGGTATTCTATCTACCAATGCAGACGTTCCGTGAAGCTGACTGATTTTAACCATCATAGAAAATAAGGGGTGTACGTTATACAAACATTTGATTTTTATAGATGGTCAGCAGATACTCGAGCTTTAGAACCGGATGAAACGTATCTGGCTTGTCCAGAAGCAAATGGATTTGTGGCATGTCCAAAACCGGGTGGTAATGGAATTAATGTGTATGAAACGAAGAATTTTACCTTATTAGACAAGAAGCATGTAATAATTGAGGGTTTACGAACTTTCCGCTGGTCACCAACGCGCCCTATTCTTGCATATTATTGTGACGAACGCGTAAGTGGTTATTTCCTTTCATTAGGAGCATTCAATAATTCCGCATTGATTTATTGTTGTTTTTGGTTTATGGTGGTAGGACTATTTCTGAGAAAAAGGAATTTAAGACATCAGATAATGCACCAGCGGAAATTGGTTTAATGGAAATTCCATCAAAAAAGAAGCTTCGTGCGCAACGAATATTTTCTGTATCAGAGGCTGAACTTTTTTGGAATAAAAATGGTGATCGATTAGCCGCACATACAGAACGTTATCAGAAGAAAAATATCAAGACATCTGCAAGTGGATCCGTTGAGGAAATTAAGTATACGGTGGGTCAATTATAATATTGGTTATAATATTGTTTTTCTCAACCTTTAGTTTCAATCTGAGAGTTTCAGCTTGAAGTGTTTGATATCCATTGTGTTACTTTAAATAAACACTTTATCAAAGCGGAAATGGTAATTGAACAATGGAAAAATGATAAGCTTTGGTAAGAGCACTGAGTCTTGAAGTTGTTTGTTAGATGTCTTGTATGTCGATTAAAGTGAAGTATCTTATATGAACCAGAAATAATTTAGATATATCACGGATTATTTACAGAATCCGACTTCACACATAGAAATTTTCGATGCACGTGGGAAAGATATATCAGTACTTTCTATGCCTCTCTCGGAATCATTCATAGCATTTGATTGGGAACCATCAGGTTTAAATATAGCTTTTTTTTTTGTTCCTGCGACTATTGAAAATCCAAAACGAATTATTTAATAGAGTAATTTATTTGTGAAAATAATTACATATATAAGTTTGATTCACCATTACATATATTGATTGAGAGAAAGGTTATGATTGATGCTTTATATACATCGTATTTTAAAATATAGTCTAAATGCAGTTGCTTTTGTATGGAATTACTAACTAATCTAAATAATCTTTGCTTCAGGTGATAAATTTTGCGTGCTTGTGGGATCACAGCATAAATCGACTCCGCTTATTTATTACTTAGATACGACCAAGCATGCTCCCCAACTAATATCAAAATTTGAACCTATGGAACGCTTTAGTGATGTTCTTTGGGCCCCAGCCGGTGGTTGGCTTGTTGTTTTTTCGGCTGCCACAGCATCCGGCAACATAATGTTCATTGACAGCAACGGAACGCGACCGACTCGCACAAATTTAGTTGAATATCCAGGCTTCAATAAGGTTGATCTCACAGCATATAGAAAATAATTGGTTCTACAGTATAACTGCGTTTTTTGGCAGGTTATTAAAGATGAAGGAAAATGGTAAGAGTTTGAAGTAGAACATGATTCGATAGGATGGGAAAGAAGAATTGCAATCCTTCTTAATTTTGATCTTAAATTTCAGGGAAGCTGGGATCCTACAGGACGGTATTTTACAGCAGCATGTACAATTGGTGGTGGAAAAGGTGATACGGGTTATCGTATCTACACTTTTCAAGGAAGAGAACTATATAGAAAGCCATTGGACCGACTAATGCAATTCAAATGGCGACCACGTTTACCAGTTAAATTACCTGATGAAATTATTAAGGTAGCTTTGTATCTTCTATTTCTATGAAAAAAAAGTTTTGATCAAGTCCACTTGATCATTTTTGATTGGTACCAGATAACGTCGAATAGAGCTGTTGGTTATGTTGTTTCAATCTGATAGAAACATTCCAGAGACAAATCTATCCCAAATTTTTTCGGGATATGTGCAGTGATTTAAAAGCATTTGCATCGCCTCTGCGAGTTATTGCACTATGACCACTGACAGAATAAATTACTGGTGATGTTCCGTTCATATCAGTACTGTAAAGTAATGTAAGTAATAATTCTTTGCAGATGATAAGGAAAAATTTGAAGACTACATCAGCTAAATTTGAGGAAGAGGATAAAATGGAACGTGGTAGAGCAACAAAGGTTTGTATTCGCTCTTCACTTTATTATCTTCGCTCGCAACTTTCATTCCTTTTTGGAACTGTCAAATTGATGTTTGTATTTTCAGGAAGTGAGTGAAAAGCGCAAAAAAATTATGGCAGATTTTGTTCAGATTCGTAATGCATGCATCAAGAAATTGGCAGAAGAAGCAGAGCTACGCTTACAACTGAGAGGTTTTTTTTTTTAAAAAAAAAAACGGTTTAGCTGCTCATGGTTTATGTGGAAACCTTTGCAAAAAATTTGGAGATTCGGACTATGGAAACTGGAAAGACGTAAAGACATGAGGGTTTTTGTTCGTTTTTATAATAATGTGACCTACTTATGCTGTTATTTTGAGAGAAGCAAAAGCAGAATGATGTGATTGCAGGTGGCTTAGATATATTGAAAGCAGACAATGAAGACTTGGTAGAAGAGACTATAACGGTGCCTTTAACTACAGAAAAAGTGAAACTACAAGAAGTAACAGTACCTGAGGAATAGCAAGAAAAGGTATTTATTTTTTGTTGGTATTTATACAAGTTATATATTTCCCGGTCTCTTCTCATTTTTCTGCACTGATTGCCAGGTGTCCTCGTTTTTCGTCCGTTCTCCATAAATAATGTTATCAACTTTTTCCCCTAATTTCTTCGTCGCATTTCCAGTCTGTGGTATTTCAATAGTACCCAATATGGTCACAACCATTGATTATGATCTGTGCATACCACCACGCCTAAGGTATATAAATCTGGGATGTGTCGTGATGTTTTTTTATGAATCAGTGTTTGTTGTGTTCTGTTGTTTTGCAGTACTGATGGTAATTCGTTTTGTTTGCTCTTCCTCGTTATGGGTATTAAAAAGACATGATCTTCAATATCTCAGATGTCCGTTTCTCATCTAACATAGTACGAAAAGTAGTACACGACGCTTATATGGATTAAAAAATCTTCCAAAACGCTTCTTTAGGAATATAAGGTTAATTGCGGGATATTTCTACATCACTCAATTTTTTTCTGAAAAGGCGCGAACAAATGAACCACTGCTTCGCCACAGGTTTGAAGCAAACATATTGACGAGAACAGATTGGCTGCCTAGCGAAATCAAGTTGTGAGCTGGTATAAAATTTAAACACTACCATAACGTACTAGAATTAAACAGATGGTGAAAAGATGAGTAGTTCGTTTGCATCGAAATAAATCGCTGAAAGTTTGAGAAATGGTAAAAAATAGATTTCTCAAGTCAATTATCGTAGTTGAAATACGAGAGATCTATGCAAGTTAGGATTAAACAGAAAATTCAACAAATGTTTTGATCTCCAATTTTTCCATTTCTCACTACCTTACTTAAGGTAGAGAGAAAACTATATACATCGCGTGGTAGTAAAATTTATTTACACAAAACATAAAGGCACATGGAAGTGAGAGTTGAGAATTCTCGTACCCTTTAAGTTCTCCATATTGCCAAAATATGGCTTACAAAAAATTAAATGATATAACAGTGTTTAAATAACAAGGTTCACCAAACATTTCACGAACTTTGGAACGTGAATCACAAGTGGCTGAGTGATCACCGAGGAGTATTCACTGCATTGCAAAGGATGCAATACGTTCAAAATACCGTTCTACATATTTCTTTAACTGTTTTGCGTCCTAAAATTAAAAAAAATGACGCAGTGTTGAATAATGGTTATTGCCCATTTTCTAACAAAAATACTACTTTCGCCTACGTATCTTTTCCAATTCATGCAAATCTGGTATATACTTTCTAAACAATACTATCACGTCCAAACTAATGGCTTCTATTTACAATGAATTTTGATCTGGTCCACTGTTGAGATTCATTAATTTTGCTAAAGCGCCAAATAAGATTATAAGAGTTTAAATATTAATTTAGAGAATATCAAATCAACATTGTTATACTGACAATGTGGTTGAAAAAATTGAAAGAAACTAAGGAATTAATAAGTTAAAGAACACAAAGGAATTTATGAAATGTACAGCATACTTTTTTTAAAGTTTCATCATCTCGTTTACTAATCAGCCACAGTAGCCAATCGATTTCTGTAAGGGGTATTGAAGATTGTGACTTTCGAGATGATATTTTTTTCGTTTCCAAAATTATCTTTTTCTTGAGTGTTTCACTGGCTAAATGAAGATGATCAAACATTATTAGCAGGTAAGCATACTGTGCTGCACACTGTTCCTGAAAAATGATAAACTTGGTGTTGGAATATGTTATCGGGCACAACAAATATTAGAGTATGACATAATTATCTAATTGCTCTTACACCACACATAGAATCCAACATGTGATACCTCGTAACAGTTTGATAACCATGGAGGTATATGCCACTGATGTTCAAGAAATACAAACGTCACTGTCCATAAAATTTTCAAATCATTCGGGCACTTTTTTATGGCTGCTTCCACATATCCTAATAAAATTGCCCAGTGCCGGTCTCGTAAACTAAAAATGTTGATTTCAAAATCAATTATGTGAGATGATTCATCAAAGCTACAAAACAAACAATGCAAAACTTCAATGTTTGGGACAATAAAAGGAACCTGGGTGTTTTCTTCACAAATTTCCGATTTCTGGCAACCCAATATGGTTCACCTTTTGGTGGCTTTGCATCCAGATTAATACATTCCACAGTAATTGCTTTCAACAGTGGATATGGCTTTAAGTCGAAAAGCCTAAAAGACAAGACTGATTTAATCCAAACGATATATACCACAACTAGAAAAATGATCAACAAATTCTTACTTGTACACTTGCCAGGCGTGATCAAAAAATTTCTTCTGAATGAGTTGCTCAATAATTTCGTGAAGTTTCGTAGGCGGCGGGATCGATTTCTTCTCTTTCGGATTGTAATTCGCATCGAATAATATCAGTCGCGCTGATGATAACATTGCCTTCTATAATCAATAAGAAATTTCTGATATTCCTATTCCACTGCGTCACATTTCTTATGATACAAATAGTCTCTGTAACTCTCTTACAAACATAAATTAAGGAATTTCACATGAAAAGAGACCTTCGAAATATCGTTTAGCGTCCAGATAGCGAGAGCATTTTTGCCTATTTCGCCCTCAACCTTCTCTAGCACTTTTTCATCTGCTTTTTCTATTTGCTTCGTTGGACTTTTATCCTTTTCCTTAACAAAATGTTTGAAACTAGGAATGACTGATAAATTCGGAACTTTCATTTAAATCGTTTCTTGTTAGAAAGGATATTTGACTTTCCTGTAAATACTTTTTATACGATTAAATAAACATAAACATTATGCCTAAACTACCAAAACATACCAGTGATGCTGGAAGTGTGAGGAATTGGTCAGTTTCTGGTAGTAACGAAAGCAAACTGACAACAGTGCTAAGAGCACGACAACGTCGAGCTAATACGTTTCGATTCTGCAGCTCCGACTGTAAACGACACGAATATTCGAACATTATCAATGCTGCTGCAAAAAATAAGCTACTCTAAATAGAAATAATCGCTGCAAAATTCGTCAACTCTGAAATATAGGCTATTACAGAGCAATCAGTTTCATAAACCGAAACAACATTCATTATCAAGAACATAGGGGATTTCAATGCTGCATAATGGAGTTCAATAATATTTTCCATTTGATTCTGCATTAGTCTCCTAGAATAGAGCGTAATGTCAACTACCATCAGTTTGATCATCAATCACAATCTTGTTTGATAATTTACCTCGCTGAAAAAGATCTCGTTTGATATGAAATGCATAGATCAGTTCGTAAAAGTATCCTTCTTTACTAATATCTGAGGTGCGAGCGTTTGCTTTCAATATATTGATCACCTTAAACAATTAGAAATGACCAAATATAATGTAAACTACAGCCAAATACCTTCTGTTGAATAAGTCTAGAATGTAGAATCCATTCCTCTACTATAAGTTAATGTTTCCTAAGCCGTAAGTTATTCTCTGTGGAACATTAATGAAACAATTTCCTCTCTTTCCTCTTATATTTCCCTTATCTCTTTTAAGATCTTAACCTCTAGTGACTTTTTTCATCAAAAAAAGATACACAGCAAACCTGCTGTTCCATATTTTCATAATTTAAACCGACAAGTACTGCATTTTTCCTTTGCTCTATCAATTTCGCTAAAAGTTCTCTCAGACATATTCGACGATTTTCCGGAACTGGATTAGAGAGAAGAGTATTAAGAGCATCTTCATATCGTCCCGTGATAAGTTCGAATTTAAAAACAGACATATACAGTCCAGGCTAAAATAATGGAAAAGTGTAAAAATTTCACGTTGAAATAAAATTCCAACTTCTTCGAAGATTTTAAAAAGAACATATTACCAAAACTCTAGTGTTTAAGTCTTTGGCTTGCAGTGCTTCCTTCAAGGCACGTCTTGACAAGTAAACTAGCTGCTCGTGAAAACCGTGCATCTCCATGACAGCCATAACCTGAAACATTTGTTTACTTAGTTTCGAATGACCAATTAAAAATTATTACTTGTTCAATCAGAAAAACTAAGCATAAATAAAAGGCATTACTTTATTTTGCTGAATTACCATATTGATGTTTAAAGTTACCTTCAACAGATATTGCAATTCATTATATAGTTCATCCGAAACATTACCATCATGAGAAAGCACCCTATTAAGTGCTTCATCTTGCCGATTAATACCTTCTATAGCATCTAGAAATGACTGCAAAGCCTGCAAATAACAATTACTGTTTGACTGCAGATCAAGGTCAAAATTCAAACTAAGTGGAGGAAGCCTTCATATTGAAAAGTACCTTTTCTGGATGTCCTAGACCAGCAAGTGCATATCCTTCGAAAAACCGAAAAGCAGCGCACAGTTCTGTTATATAAGGTTCATTCAACTGACAGTATGCCTGGAAAAGATAAATCTAGCCGATTCACATACTTAGTTCTTCAAAATATTAAAATAAATAAAAACAAAAAATACACAACCTGTAGCGCAGAATACTGACGATAGTTAGCCAAAAATCTGGCTAACACCATAGCTGTATTTTCTGGCCAAAGAACAACTACAGCGCCATTAACGATTTTGTTAAGAAATTGTGAATATGCTGATGTTGACTGTCTAAGAGGAGATACATAAGGAATCTTTTCAATGCAATTATCAGCTGCGTCCTCCACAGTTTCTTCGTCATCCTCTTCCGTATCGTCTTCCTCACTCACTAATTCCTTAACAAATAGTTAAGTAACAAGTTTCTATAATCTCAAAATTTTCACATTCCCAAAATACTCCAATTTAAAAAAAAGTTTCAAACTTTCGGGAGCATATCTCGCCAATTCATATGTCATGCTAATCATCTAAAAAGGAAGCAAACCGTTTGATAAGAAACGATCACAACAAAGAAAAATGATAAACCTTATCCTGTACATAACTGAGTACGGTTGGGAGACCAGCACTTGCGAAGAAACCATCTGCTAGGCTTATTTCGCTATAATTGTCACTGCAATTAACTGTTTTTAATATTCAAATTCCTTATTGCACCTCGAATTCCATCTTTTACATCGATCCACCTAAGCTTATTCTCATTTCAGAAATACCAGAAAGATACTTACAAACAAATTCGCAGTTTCATTGCCTGTGATAAAATGCTAAATTGTCGATTCATATCATGAAGTGACTTTTCGTAAGTATTAACTGTAAGCCCCCATCTAGCGTCCAATGGTATCGTCTCCTGAATATATTAACTATACTGCTACTTCGGCTGCAAGCTTGATCTTTATATATCTAAATCCGGTTAAATAACACAAAAAGTGAAATAATGAAAAATCACATCCTGAGAAGAGTAGACAGTTTTTACTAATTCCATTAGAGCGATAAAGCATTGGCTGAGAGCTAATCTGTCATCAATTAAGCGTATGAAGTGAGTAGCCAACAGCCCAGTTGTGAACGATCCATGAAATGGCGTTTCCGCTGCTGCTAAAACAAAATTCCCGTGAAGTAATTTGACAAATTAAAGTTACTAATTTTCTCATCGAAATAAGACATGTACACATTAAACTATATCGCAAGCTTGCGAACATGCATGTGATTACGCTATTCAAAACTAGCAGTCATGTTGCACGCTTTGTAGGCGATAAATTCTGTTAGCAAATAACATACTGTCTAAATCAAATTCGTCGACAGGTCTTAATTCAGTAAATTTCCGGATTGCATCCTCGAAAATATGCGAGACTGTTGGAAATGTATTCACGAACTGTTCACTTCCTTCTATACTTACTGCACTGGGAACCTACATAATGGATTTAATACAATACATTTTATGATGGCCGAAAGAAAAAACATTTATAAATTTGAATATTATATGTGACTCCCTCAAGTATTAATGGAGAATCTCTGGATCATTATGGATGAATTCACAATTCATAATGCAAAACCATATTGCAGAAGAGATAATAGCATACCAGTCCTCCTACAGCAAATTTTGTAACGATTTCCCAACATAATTTCACATTCTTTTCATCGTTTCCAATCAAATGTTCGAACCAACGAAGCTGTTCATCACCAGGACGACATACTGTGAAACGTCCCTGCAGTAATAAAACACTAGAATGAGTAAATTTACTACAATATTTACGAAGTGACACAGTGATCGATCTGACAAATTACTCATTCACAAATGAAGCAGGAGATAACGTCAGAAGAGAAAATCTCTTCTGCTGGTGACGTTATCTCCTGCTTTAAAATTATCCTATGAAGTGACACAGTTTAATCAATTAAAATTTCTTCTTACTTCCAAAACGCGAATTTTAAAGGATAATAAAGGTGATAAAATTAATAAACACACAAAAAATGATAATCATACCTGTTGTATTGTACCATACAAGCCAAGAGGGACAGAGTGCCACAGACCTAAAGAAAGGCATTCATTTTGCATTAATTCATTGCACATCTTTGTAAGCGCTGTCCAGAATCGATCTTGTCCCGCCTGATTGGGTGGTGTTGTAGCCAAAAGTGAACGATCCTCTCGAGTAACATAATGCTGATCGAACTGTAAGAGCAATATATAGTTATTTTCCGGATACTTATATGATATTAAATGCTTGTGCCGTTACCAATCGATCCACAATAATAAACACGGATGATCAGTTAATTTCTAGTATATTCTTCAGCATATTCTTCTGTACAAAATTTAATTGAAAAATTTATTTTAATAAGAAAAAATTTAATAGAAAATTGAAATACCTCTATTGAGCCACAATACTTTTCCGCTGCTTCCTTTAGCATTCGCCAATCGTATCGCCTTCCCAAAAGTTCCCAGTTAAAAGTTCCTTTTTTGCAAACTAACTAAAAATTATTATTACATATTATCATGTCGAACCCAAAATGTAGCAACAGATTCTTTTGGCTACAATATTAGATTTTATGGATAATCAATGAATAGGACAAAAAAACATTTAAAAATGTGGAGAATATGAAAAATAGGTGAAAGTTATTTCCTTTTCTACTATTTTTTTAGATTCAAAGAAAATACCTGAAGAGAACGTAAAACAATGCCAAAAGGATATCTGTTGGGATCGAAGATATATGATTTCTGTGCAGCAATCGATTGCTTTGGTTTAGCTTGCAATACACTCACCTCCAGATCACCATCACTGATTTCATTTACTTCTTTCCAAGGAATTGTCAATACACCATGCAAACTAAAATCTCGCATACGACATGCCTTTATATTTTTTTTACAGCCTGTCAAAATTATATACAGCAGCATATGCTTGGTTATGAAGCGGTTTCGTAAAAAAATAAGAATTGTCTGGAAGTTTCTGTAATATTAATGAAACTTACCAATCAACTGAAGCAGTGCGTAAACAGTAACGAATTCCATCCGAAACTTTACATAAACAAATAACATCCAGAATATTTTCTTGCACGGCACAGGTGAAATCCACTACTCCACTCTGTAATTTGTTGAAACTTACTATGAAGACGAAAGAAGAGAAAAATTGAATGATTTTTACTGAAAAAAAAGCATAATCCCGCAAACTTACGCACTTCTGTTTGGAAAGTATTAATAAACGAGAAATATCCAGCATATTCTGGTAGCAGATATGGATCAATTTTCCCCAACATAAACTGAAATCATTACATGTTCGCACATAAATAAAATAATTCATGAATATTTACAAAACGACAATTTTTTTATACCATTTAAACTTAAAATTCTTCAGATGTATGAGAATCGAATGCTTAGAAAGAAAATGTTTAAGAAGTATCAACCTAGCTCGAAAAACATTACTTACATAAGTATTGTCGGAGAAAGGTCAAACTATCTGGTATGCATGCGGCTCCTCGTAACTAGCACTACATAGCCTACTAAATTTTCATTCTCAACAAAAAACAACAAACCATGCAATGGTCAACAACTTGAAAAAGCACGACCACATAAAAGGAATCCGTGTTAGAACAAATTTTTATCATTTCTACACTGACTGAAAAAAAAAGTTACTAAGCAAGAAAGTTTCCATGGTTATCATTCATTATTTAAAGGCAAGTTTAGTAAATTTTGTTTACCTTGTTCTCCATCGCTATTAGGTATCATATCATATAAATTCCCATCGTACTCTTTTTTACCATTCTGGAATTTATATGCTATAAGTAGATTCTAGCCAACGTGAGAATTCCAACAGTATATCCGACTTATGATTATTAAGTTTGCATTTTGATAACTAACCCTGCCATATTTCTTCAGTCGAATAACTTATTTATTGCTATATTTCCCATGAAAGACCAAATTCAACGTTTTTTGCTGCTGCTCAACATTTATTTGCGTATCCATATTTCTCAAAAGTGTTAAATAAACAAACCGTATAAACATGCAGCCTTTTATCATCAAAGAGCACATAAAACAGAACGTCACAATGAATCACACATGATGCTAAGCCAACAACTAAGCTCAGCTGATGGGTTGCCTTCATTACTCGTTGTAGCAATCCATCGCCTCTTATTACTTTTTCATAACCTCAAATAACTTTTTTGAATTAGTAATTATGATTTACTGTTCTTAAATCCTACAGAATTTTTCATATTAGTACAATAATTATAACACGAAAAAAGAAACCAAATGTTGCTTAGATTAGAAGAATAAAGTATTTATAAACCTTGTCCTTTACTTCCTGGTGCATGACGCATCTGTACAAGAACAATCTGTCCATCACCCAATGAATATATTGCAGATGTGCCAGTACTTGTCGTATGTACAATACTTGCACGACAGGCACTTCTTGATGATGTTAGTTTGTAGCTGTCATAATTATCCAGGAAGGTCTCATCTGCAGACAGCTTCAGAATGGCTTGAACCTGCAGAACCAAAATTTTTGTTTCTATTACTGAATCTTGGATTTATCTTCTTTATCACAATAGAACATTACGCAGCTTATTCCTTTTCTCTTTTTCCCACTCTTAATACTGGGATTTTTAAGACTTCTCTGGTTTCTGTAACACAAAAACAAGGCGCACAAAAGAATTAGTAAATGCAACTAATAAATGTAACCTCATTCTTTTTAGCCCCAATATCGAAAGTAAACCGATGAAGAGCATTTTGCGTCGGTACTATTAATATCAGTTTGTCATGTTCGAAACAGAACTGCGTTCCAGGTATAACATTAGCTGGACTAAAATTAAAGCTTAACGAAGCGAAATCGAAACACCGTTCGACGCTTCGTTCTTCTAATAGTAACGATGATCGATTCGATCGCCTGCAATATCTGACTTAGTTCAACCTGCCGTCAAACTTTGTTTTTCAAGTGGGTTCTAGTTTCCAAGAATAAGTATGGATTATTTCTCCTAAAGAAATTCAAGTCAAAGTCATCACCAGAATATCGACTGCTCTAAGTACAAGACAGTGATAAATGCGATGAAAGAAACTAGCCATATAATAAAACGATCGAGCATATCCGGTATATCTCGAAAGTCGTACGACCCAACTGCAGGTTCAACCTCATTATTGGTTAACGTGTGCAATTCTTCATCTGTTTAACAATGTATTTCAAAAATATGTTTTAAAAATTGACTGCAAAATTATTCCGCTTGCATATTTACCACATACCACTTTTCTGCATATACGGTCTCTTAGATGATCAAATCAAAATAAAGGAAAATCGGAACTGCCAAAAATTTTAATTCGAAAGCAAAAAAAGAAATATTTTACTTGAGATGCGAATCATCCGAATAGGATGGAATGTATAAGTTGCGGCAAATACAAGCTCTTCTCCCTTCAGACAATCAGTCATACCTGGCAGCTCTGAAATGTCACGTAACTCATTGATCTACCCAGAAATTAAAACTCTTATTCGAACCATCCGTTTCAAGTTGTTTGAAGAAATTGACAGTCTTATGTGATCCAGTAACCATTAATGATTCAAAAATTCGCAATCAATTTGTCGGGAACTAACGACTTCCACGAACCCGCCACCCACCGAGTCAAGCTTCCAGGAACTTCACTCTCCGCCTCAACTTTTGCCGCCGGGTAATCTCTTCAAGTCTTCTTTGTTATCCCACTACGAAAATGTTACATCCCACACGTACAGATCACACATTTGGCAGCAGCTTGTAGTAATATGCTTAAATATCCATTCGAGATTTCACATGTCGATAACTCTACATGAGATTGCTGTGACTTACCGTAGAGAGGAATATAGGCCAAACATCGTTCTAATTCATCCAAAGATAAAGAGGTATGACTCATGGTTAGTTAATTCGATTATCGAAATACAAATTTTTGTTTTGTCCTAAATTTAATTGAAAATTAACTGCATGATGAAATAAATAAGCTGACAATGTGCGTTATACCAGTATTAATAAGTTACTCTTATAATTTATAAATTATTTTATGAAATTACAAATTGTAATTACAATT